GTCCCTTTTGTGAATATATTTTTCTATTTTAAAATTAATAAACATTTAGATTATTCCTTTTTCCTTTAGTAAAAACAATGCTGCATTGACATATCTCCTTGTGCACGTGTCCTAGGATTTCCCTAGTGTGTCTGTCTACAAGGGAGGCTGTTGGTTTGTGAGTCCTGCACCCTCCTTACTGGCTATTGTGAAGTGTTCTTCAGCGTGGTTGTCTCATAGAGTTCATACTTTTCCCTAGTAGTAAGTGAGGATTCCTCTTACCCACATCCTTTCTGTCTCTTGTGTGTATCCTTTGTGTTTGGGAGTTGTATGATTTTGATAGTAGTATAATTTATCAAACTATTGCCTTATGGCTCCTAGCCCATGTGTGTGTGTGTGTGTTTTGTCATGTTTAGAGGTTTTTGGTCACGTTTAGTTTTGGCAGTAAATGGTTACTGTAGCTTAACTTGCAAATATAGTTTTGAGGTTGTTCATTTTGTTTCACAACGATGACATTAAAGGAGAATAGTACTAATAGTCCAGAAATCTGGTAATCCTGCAGCAGGATTCTATCCAGACTGTGCAACACTTTCTCTGCCAGATATTAAGGGAGGCTAACAGTGAGGTTAAATTAAATTCAGAAACCTGCGATTGGGAAACCATGCTAAACAGTGTGTGTAGCAGCCAGACGTCTTCGTTGAAAGGCTTCTGCTCACTGCCCAGAGCCGGGTTGTCTAATGCAGCATTAATAACCGTATCAGGTCGAGGGTGAAGATTGATCTGGAGGCTTTAGTACTGATGCTCCTTTCTCCCTATCTTCCTTGTCCTACTTCTTTTGAATAATGTTCACTTTCTCCTCATTATCAGGTCAAAGTTTCAGGAAAGTCCTAGATGTAACAAAGTTCAGGCTAAAAATTTTTGAAATGTTAAGCTTATGCAAGACATTAAACTTTGTCATACCATCCCAGCCAAAAGTAAACTAAAACTCCAAACCTGTTGCATAACCAGACGTGACATCTGCAGAGCCGTCCTGTAGAAATAAGCAATAAACTACACAGTGAACAAGGAACATAGCAGGTGTGGTCAATCAGGAAGAGCTTTTTGATACAAATTGATGATATTTTTACTTCTGGAACAATCAGAGGTATGTTCTTATTTTAGGTGTTCAATCTTTTTTGTAAAACATATTATTTAATAACAGTATAAGATCTAATAATGGTTTATTGCACTATCTGTGGGGGTGAGGGTAGGGCTTACTTTCTTTCACCATCTAAATGTCCCTAAAAGAAGAATCTTTACCTCAACACGTGCATTCCTCCAAATTATGTGTGAAATTTCCTTTGAAGAGAACTCAAATACTTTAGAAAAGTTTGGAGCCTACATAAGGAAAGTCATTTTGATTTTCAATTTTCACGATCTTTAGAAGGTGCTAAAGTCTTTAAACCCTTTTGGCCAGAGGTGGATTTTTTAATAAGAACGTGAAGAAAACAAGTCTCGACTCAAAGCACGTGGAAAGACATCTGTAGTTTACAAAGCCTTCTTAGGGTAAAGTCTTCGTAATCCTATTCTCTCCTCAGCAAACTCCAAGGCACTCATGGTTACAATTTGTGTGGCAGCACCTCTCATTTCTGTATGACATTTTGGTTACTTAATTATTGGAACTCACCATTCCATAAATCTGCGCTTGCCATTTGCCTTCTGACTCCAATTCCTGCCTCGTGCCTTCCTGCAACTCCAGCTCTCAGGTGAGATGGGTCAGCTCAGACCTGAGGAGGGAATGACGGCTGCTTGAGATGATGGAGATGGATTCAGAGCAGCTGCTTGGGAAGCAGGCAGTTGTTCTGAGCAAGAAGGTTCAGTGCTTCAAGGCCGTTACTCTCAGCCCAGGAATAAAATTCTATGGGACACAGTTTAATTGCTTCAAGATTCAATTCATAACCCTTTTTCCTGCATCCCGTCATTATTAGGCCATTAATATTTTGTCCCTTTTATTACATTCCAACAGATCTAGGCAAATATTTGCCAATAATTTTAGAGATGAAGCTACATGTGACTCTTCACTCGAGTGCTGAGTGACTACTATCATAGGCTACAACCAGTAAGCAGTGAAGCCTAGACAAAGATCCGGATACGAAGGGTAATAATCAGTATATTCATCTCTCTTGTTTGTAGTTCCCACAGATACTAAGTGGTTAATTTATTAGCTTAAGAAAGATACTTCACTGTATCATAATTGTCAAGGAGTGAAAATATTGCCTAAAAGCATTGGCCAAGCTGTGCCTCTGCTGTGAAATCTTTTATGTAGGAAACGTTAACGTGTCATCATATGCCGATAGGCACCAAGGCCTTTGAGGAAGGCATAAGAAATTAAAGACCAAAATCATTTAATTTGAGAATAGATGCATTAACAAGATCAAATACGAGTTACTTGTCTTTTGTTTCAGATACTACCCTGAAAAAATTTTCCTCAGCACATATTGACTATATTTTGAAGGAAAAGGAGCATAATATAACCTTTGAGTCCTGAGAAGAGCAATTGCAGTCAATGGACTTAATGTCTTAAATGGCTTTTAGTATCATCATTGGTGGTATATAGAAAAAGGTTACAAAGCCTCTTTCACAGCTGGAACTTACAAATTAATCCTGTTCAGCAGCATTCTCTCTCTGTGCTCACTAATCAGCTCATGCAGAGGGTGGCTGACGTTCATCTCTTCCTAATTAGAGGAGCACGTGCTGCAAAGCCATCATTCTGAATGAGAGCAATGGTGTTTACTCTGTTTCCCTCACCCTTCCTGCTTCATTCACCGTTAAGCAACCCATGACAATGACACAGCTTGTCACACAGAGTATGAGGAGATGGAATCACAACATTTGGAGGTAGATTGCTTGGATTTGAGTCTAGGCCTTCAACTAGCTGTGTGACCTCGGGCACGTTACCTAATCTCTCTGAGCCTCGGATTCTCCATCTGTAAACAGTTGTTCCAGTCGCTTCCTAAATTCTGATGATTAAATGAGATAATACATGGAAAAGCACTACGCAAATATCTTTTACAATTTTTAATTGTTGAAAATTTCAAACCTATTCTAAGGTTGAGAGAAGACAGTTGTACCCTCATGTGCCCATCACCCAGCTTCAACAATCATCCATTCACGGTCAGTGATATTCATCTATACTCCAACCAGTACTCTCTCTTGCCCCCAAAGGAATCTTATACAGCTAATTCCAGATGTCATATCATCCCCATGCTTACATATTTTAGTGTGTATCTCTAAAAGGTAAAGTCTCTTTTTTAAAAGCATAACCATAAAGCCATTATCCTACTTAAAAATTTTAACACATACCTAGTCAGTGGCCATTTCCCAGTTGTCTCATAAAATCTTTTTAGAATTATTTTGTTTGACTCAGGATTTAAATAAGGTCTACACATAGCATTTGACTGACCTGTCTCTTTAGTCTAATCTATAACTACACTGTTCAACATGGTAGCCACTAGCCACATGTATCCATTTAAATTTAAACACAAATTAATTCAAATTAAATAAAATTAAAAATTCAGTTCCTCCGTTGCAACAGCCACATTTCAAGTGCCAAATAGTCGCATGGATAGTGCAGATATGGAACATTTCCACGACTGCACAAAGTGTTATAGCACAGTGCTGATCTACAAGTCTCTCTTCCCTCTCTGTTTCATTCATTTTGATTGTCAAAAAAACCCCAAGTCATTTATGTCATGGAATTTCCCACATTCTGGAGTTTTCTGATTGAATCCCCATGGTGCCATTTAACATGTTCCTTGGCCCTCTGTATATAATTGATGGTTACAGCTAGAGGCTGAAAAGCTGTTTGTCTGTTTCGTGAGCTCAAGTCCTACCATGTGACCTTGAGCACGTAACTTGACCTATCTAAACGTCCGTTCCCTCACATATAAAACAGGAATAGTAACAGTACCTACACCATTGGATTGTTATGAATGTGAAAGGAGATAATTAATCTGAAGTGCTTGGCCTGGTGCATGGCTTATGGCATGGATTAAGTATCCATTAGTTATTATTTGCATTATTATACTGGTTATTAGGCACTGACTCTCAAATCTTAGTCCATGCACTGGCTGTGTGAAAATCCTCCACAGACATAAACAAAAGCTTTCTAGAGATTCTCATTAAGCCTTGAGATTATCTGTCTGTTCATTATATGTGTTAAGTTATTGAATTTTTGTCTTGCATCAATTTTTAATTCATTAATTGATTGTCATTTAGATGATTCGGATGTTTACACATAATTATCAAGTCAAATCTCAGTATTCCTTTTAGCATTTCTCTCTTCAGTTATGGTTGGAAAATCTGTCCTTAACTTAATATTACAAAAACATATGCAGATGTATCTCCAGATCGCTTTTACATTTAATTATTCATTCCATTTTGACTATTATAGCTTAGCCTAGAGAATTAAGTAAATATGTATTACTTCACTCCTACACACCTTTTAAACGCAGCTAACAGACACTGAATAAACCAGCCCATCCTGGCGGTATCAGGAGTTACTTGCCCCACGTGCTGTCCCCAGGCTGCAGCCGCCTGAGGGGACTCGCCCGGGGCCCCGCCCTCAGAGCTCACACCCGCCGTGCGCTCTCGCCCCGGGGCCGCCCCGCCGACCCTCCCGCGCGGCTCTGCGCGCACAGGCCGGACGCTCGGAGCCGGCGCCGGGCCGCCCCGCTCGGCCTCCTGGGCGCAGCGCCGCCTCTGGACCGAGCACGCGCACCAGCGGCCTCCGCGCAGGCTCCGTGCCCGCGCACGCGCCCTCGCGTCGCGCTCCTGGCGGAGAGACCTGCGCTCGGGCCGGGCTCCGGGCGGTTCTTGCGGTGCCGTTCCACCGGGACTTCCGCGCTTCGGCGGCCTTTCTGACGAGCCGCCGCGCCCAGAGATGTTCAGGTTGGAGCGACACTTCCCAGAGGGCAGCGGTCACTCCAGATCTTCGGCTTCCATTCCGTTTTCGCGCGGTTCTCCCTCTTTGCAGGGTGAGTTGAGCTCATCTGTGGATGTATTAGCACAGGATGCGGGAATCCTGTGAAGCGAGTCAATTCGGAGCCCGACGTGAACCAGGAGGGGTGGCGGCGGAAGCGCTCACAGCGTGGAGGCCCGTAGTAGGGACGCCAGTCCTCACGGGACTCTCGGGCCTGAACGGCAGAGGACGGTGTGTGTGGGGACAGATGGGCAGCGTGTGGCGGGGTGTGTGTGTGAGAGACGCGAGTGAGCGGTGGGATGCGCCTCCGTGCCGTGGGTGTGGCTGCGAGGCTGTGACAGGTGCGTGGCTGTGCTGGGGTGACGGGGATTTGGTTGCATGTCCTTCACCTGTGCGGGTGTGATGGCTGTGGCTCTGTGGCGTCACTGTCTGGTGGCTCTGGGCTCCCTGGTGTTCCTCCTCTTCTCTCTTCACAGCTGCTTGGCTGCAAGAGGGAAGTAGGATATTGAGCCCTAAAGGAAGATTTCCAGCCAGGGGGCACCGAGGTTAGTTTGGGAAAGCCTAGAAAGTTCTCTACTTGGGAGCTCTGAGGGGCAGCTACTGTCTCAGAGCCTCGGGGTTCCCAGAGCTCGGACCCCAGGAACGTGCTGTAAACCTATACCCGTAGTCCAGGCTCTGTCCTCCTTTCCATCTGTTTATGTGTATGAGCAGGGCGGGTGTGGACCTGGAGAGTGTCCTACATGTAAGGAAGTCATTCTGTGCCCCAAGAACAGCCTGGTGCCTCCTGACTTCCTCCTCAGTCCTGCCATCCCCCAAAGAAGAATCTTGGGGAGGGGAAAGAATTGTTTTCATGCAAAAATCAACATTGAGGATAGTTGTTTCTTTCTTTCATAAATTCACTGATTTTAAATTATTGATATAAGAAAAATTTAACAAAACTTTGCAATGATATCTGATTTTTAGTTGTCTTCCCAAAAAGATTTCCAAATACTGATTGAAATACAAGAAAATAAGGAATCGTTTTATTTACCAACATGTCTTTTGTTGCTGCTTCAGGGCACTGAGAGTCTTAGTGATGTTCTCACTTTGAGACCCTTGATCACATCAGCTTCTTTGCGCAGGTTGTGATTCACAAATGTCTCTTTGTTTCTGCTGCATTTCGGCAGGAGGGAAATTTCCTCCTCTTTTCTAGAAACTCTTGATGTATGAATTAAAAATGCATTCTCAAGCAAAAGATCTAATTTTGCCCATTATTTTTGTGAGCATTATCAGAGCAGGGCTGATAAGCACAATTTTACTCTACGAAAAAGGATCGTTTCTTTTATAATACCCAATTAGGGGACATGCAATGTTCTTCAATAAAAATAGCTAACATATTTATATGGGATTACAACATATTACTAAGTTTCAATGTAGATTATATTTCTCCAACATATTCATGCTTAGTAAGTGATCTTCGTACTCTTGCCTTTACTGATGAAAAACCCAAGACACTAAAATGTCATGAACTCTAAGAGCAGTTACGTTTAGAAAATCTGAGAACAGAATCTATGTCTTAAGTTTCAACTGGATACCGTTCCCCAGTTATGAGTGCGTATTTTACACTTGGACCAGTATCATCCTGATTAATAATCCTGTACATGCCATCACATAGCAGAACCAAATTAATTAACCTGTTCCCTCTTAGATTTTTGTGTTTCTAGTTTTTGGCTGTCAAAAACTCTGTATTGAAGATACTCGTACATGCATTTCTTTATCTCAATATTTTCTTAAGAAATGTCTAGAACTAGAATTTGGGGTAAAATAATCAGATTTTTAGTAAATGCTTATCATATGCCAGACCATGCCATCTTAGTATTTGGGGTGATAGAAAGACTCAAATGACACTGTTGATACTCTTATGTTCCTTCTGGTAGGTAAAGTAAACCCTGAATAGGAATAGATGCATCGAAGGCCACTGGGGAGATTCAGATAATGTGACTTGGTGTTTGATAAGGCAGTGATGTCATTCTGACTGCAGCCACCACTGTCGGGTTGTGATCAAACTCTGATGACCTATGAGAGCACCGTGATGGTAAGGAATTTATGTTGTAAATTTTTACCTTACTTTTTCAGTTGAGATATATACATGATCATAAAATTCCTCCCTTTTTTTTTTTTCGGTGAGGTAGTTTGGCCCTGTGCTAACACCTGTGGCCAATCTTCCTCTTTTTGCTTGAGGAAGAGTGGCCCCGAGCTAACATCTGTGCCCATCTTCCTCTATTGTGTATGTGGGGTGCCACCACAGCATGGCTTGATGAGTGGTGTAGGTCCATGCCTGGGACCCAAACCTGTGAACCCGGGCCACCAAAGCAAAATGTGCTGAACTTGACCACTACGCCACTGGGCCAGCCCCAAATTCACCTTGTAAAAATCTACTCAAAAGAAAACTTTTTACTATATTCACAAGGTTGTACAAATCAGTACCACTATCTAATTCCAAAATATTTGATCACCTTAGTAAGAAACCCTGGCCTTGTTAGCTGTCACTTCCTATTCCATCGTCCTCCCATACTCTGGAGACCACTAACCCAGCTTCTGTCTCCATGGATTTGCTGACTCTTGAAATTCAGTCTACATGGAATCATGCAGTATGTGTCCTTTTATGTCTAGCTCCTTTCACTTAGCATGAGGTTTTCAAAGTTCGTCCATGTGGTAGATAAGCACATCATTCTTTTACTTTATTTTGTAAAGTATACATGGCATTACATTTGCCATTTTAACCACTTTTCAGTGTACAGTTCTGTGACAGTAAGTGCATTCACATTGTTGTGCGACCATCAGCACCATCCACTTCCAGGACTTTTTCATCTTCGACTGAAACTCTGTCCCATTAAACACTAACTCCCCATTCCCCTCTCCGCCCAGCCCTGGCAGCCACCGTTCTCCTTTCTGTCTCTATGAATTTGACTTCTCTAGGACCCTCATAGTAGAGCAATCGTGCAAAATTTATACTTTCATGACAGGCTCATTTTACTTAGCACAGTGTCCTCAAGGTCATCCACGAGGAGTAGGTATCAAAATAGCCTTATTTTTCTGACTGCGTAATATTCCCTTATATCCATAAATGGCATTTTCTTCATCCATCTGTTGATGGACATTTGGGTTGCTTCCACTTTTTGGCTGTGACAAATGTGAACATTTGTGTACTAGTTTTTGTGTGAATGCATATTTCCATTCTCTTCGGTATATAGCTGAGGACAGAAGTGCTGGGTCACACGGTAACTCCTACTTTACATTTTTTATTCTGATGATGATGGTTGCTGAGTGAGACTGATAGGATAAGAAAATTGAGCAGCTTTCTGGAGGACGTGGCTAACAGGATGGGAAAGGGTTCCATACAGAGAACTTGCAAAAGGATGTAGCCCCGAGACCAGCAACAATACATATTAGCTATACTCAGGGACTTCAGCCATCTGTCTAGACAGTCATCCAACAATGAGCATGCCTAAAAACCTGAGAGGAGATTGTGTCACTGGTAACTGAAGGAATCAAAAACCATTTAATAAAACAACCCAAATTTAGTACATTTCCCTAAGACCAACTAAACTCTGTTTAGAAGAATGAACTTTCCACATTTTGGAAAACAGCTTCCACTTAACACACAACAAATCTTCACATGCATAGATATTTTAAGAAATGGACAATCAGCAAGTTAAATCCTTAAACAAACAAAATTCCCCATCGGGGGCAAAAGATAAGCACTGTCAACATGTAAATGTAAAACCTTTCTAGATTTTTTCTGTCTATTGAAGTCTGATGATTTTTCAGTCATTTGATATTGAGATACACATGTGTTCTTCAAAATGGTATCATATTGTACCTATAGTTTTATAACCTGATTTTTCTACTGACAGTGTTTCTGGAATGCTTTCCATGTTCACGATATTTTTCCTGACTTCACGTTTATTACGTGGATATGTTGTAATGTGTTTAACCATTCATTTTTCTGGAATTGGAATACTGAATATTTCCTGACCAGTTCTATGTCTTTTCTAACCTCTTCAACCTCACCTGACCCCAAGGCCATGAGGTAAGGTGTGGCTGGATGGCGTGGCTCCTTTTCAGTCCTGGAAGGTGTGAATGGAGGGAGGAGGACCTGTTCAGGGCTGGGCTGAGCAGCCTAGTCTCAGGTGCAGAGCAGCTTCCCCAAAGTGGAGGTCTGGCCAGAAAACTGTCTGTTGAAGTGTTTGGGTTTCCTGGGCATTAGGGGAAGAGTTTGGGTTTGTCTACAGTCCTTCTAATTTTTTCATATTGTTATGTTTGTACAGTTAGAGGTGTTATGCAAAATGGAATGGAGGAGCCAAATGTTACTTCCTCTCATGGTAACCCTAAATTATGCTTGCTCTCATGGTCTCTTTTTCCTTTCCCAGCTCTGGATTCTCTTTGTTCTTTCCCAGTAGAGGAATCCCAAGGAGGAGTGATCTGTTTTGGCAGGTGCAAAACCATGGTATGTGTAAGTTAGTGTTTCCTTCTCGTTGAAATAGTGAGACGTAAATGTTTTCATTAATTGTTCTGAAGCTTCCTACCCAAAAGAACCCCATGTTATTATGTGCTTCCCAGTTCCTCCCATTCCAGTGAACTGAACAATGGTTCCAAATAACCTAATCCTCCTTATGTGGCCCAGTCTCTTCTAGCCAGTGTTTATATATTCACTGACCAGATTATTCTCTCCTATGTGTTCAACTTAGTAATATTAAGAGCTATAATGGAGGAATGAAGAAATTAAGTCCTGTCAAAAAATGATTTGAGCTTCCTGTGTCAGGACTGTAGTTGCATGAGAGATGGAGATCCCATTTGGCCAAGCAGGGAAAGACTCTGACATTCTCACAGATGTGAGTTCTCTAGATACACGTGATAAAATGAACGGTCTCTGAAGGCTGAGATCCAATGCTCTGTGAGGTTTTTGGAATTGAATAGCAATATGATTTAAGACTTGAAAATATATGGATCATGGTTCTTGGTAAGGGATTCCTGAATGATAAATATGACTATTTTATTGCTGACTAGGATGCGATGAATTTTAATGACTTTGATATAATTCTGGATCATCCTACATTAGTATCCTCTAACTCATGAACCACAGAAGTACTAAGTCAGGGATTGCTAGTGGCCATAAGAGAGAGTAAAATCATGTCTTAAATTAACAGAGAGCAAGAGCGGAAAAGACCTTAGATATGTTGTCCAACTTAATGTATAAAATCATAATCATCTAAACATGATTAATTCTATTATACCATAAGTTAGAGTGCTATGCAGCCATTCAAAATATTTGTCAAAATAATGAAACTACGTATGATAGAATTTAACAAAGAATTTGAGTATTTAAGATATTCTTTTGTTTCTTTTTAAATGCTGTTTTTCTATCTGTTATGACAAACTCTAAGTTTCAATTGGATAATTTTATCCTTTTACATTTAATGTAATTATTGACAGTTAGATTTAGGTCATCCATTTTACTACATGTTTTCTTTTTTTCCATTTGGCTTTTGTTCCCCTTTCTCTTTTTTTCTTCTTTGGGGTTAATAATATTTATTTAAAATTCCATTTTAACTTGCTTTTTCTATATGTGCCTATTTTTAGTGGTTACTGTCTGTATTTAAATATATATATATGTATATATATATGTATTTTTATATATATATAATTATTTTATTGGGTCATATTGGCTTTCAACCTTGTATGCATTTCAAGTGTCTATCATTATATTTCAGTTTCTCTTTAGACTGCATTGTGTTCATCACCAATAATTCAGTTTTTATCTGTCACCATACATATGTGGCTTTACCATTTCATCCTCCCTCATCCCTTTTTCCTCTGGTAACCACTAATCTAGTCTCATCTATGTGTTTGCTTATATTCCACATAGGAGTGAAATCATACAGTGTTTCTTTCTCCATCTGACTTGTTTTGCTCAAGATCCATCCATGTTGTCTCACATGGGATGAGTTTGTCTGTTTTTACGGGTGAGTAGTATTCCATTGTATACATATACAACACCTTCTTATCCATTTGTCTCTTGATGGGCACCTAGGTTGCTTCCACATCTTGCCTATTGTGAATAATGCTGTGGTGAGCATACGGGTGCATATATCTTTTTGAATTAGTGATTTCATGTTCTTTTGATAAATACCCAGTAGCAGAATGGCTGGATCATACAGTATTTCCGTTTTTAAGTTTTTGAGAAATTTGCATACTGTTTTCCATAGTGGTCGCACCGGTTTGCATTCCCACCACCAGTTTATGAGCATTCCCTTTACTCCACATCCTCTCCAACATTTGTTATTTTTTGTCTTGGTAATTATAGCCATTTGACTGGTCTGAGGTGATATCTCATTGTCGTTTTGATTTGCATTTCCCTGATGATTAGTGATGTCGAACATCTTTTTGTGTGCCTGTTGGCCATCTGGATATCGTCTTTGAAAAATGTCTGTTCGTATCCTCTGTCCATTTTTTTTATTGGATTATTCTTTTTTCTTGTTAATGAGTTGTATGAGCTCTTTATGTATTTTGGAAAGTAACGCCTTGTCAGATGTATGATTTGCAAATGTTTTCTTCCCATTGGTAGGTTGTCTTTTCGTTTTGCTGATGGTTTTCTTTGCCTTGCAGCTCTTTAGTCTGATGTAGTCCCATTTCTTTATTTTGTCTTTTGATTCCCTTGCCTGTGGAGACATGGTATTCAGAAAGATACTACTAAGACCTACATCAAATCTGTACTGCCTATATGTTCTTCTAAGAGTTTTATGGTTTCAGGTCTTACATTCAAGTCTTTAATCAATTTAGAGTTAATTTTTGTGTATCATGTGAGACAATGGTCTACATTCATTCTTTTGCATGTGGCTGTCCAATTTTCCCAACACTATTAATTGAAGAGACTTTCCTTTCTTCATTGTGTGTTCTTGGCTTCTTTGTTGAAGATTAGCTGTCCCTTGATGTGTGGTTTTACTTCTGGGCTTTCAATTCTGTTCCATTGATCTGTATATCCGGGTTTTTTATGCCAGTCCCATGCTGTTTTGACTACTACAGCTTTGTAGCATATTTTGAGTTCAGGGAGCATGATACATCCAAGTATTGTTTTTTCCCCCCTCAGAATTGCTTTGGCTATTCAGTGTCATTTGTTTTTCCATATAAATTTTAAGATTCTTTTTTCTCTTTTCATGAAGAATGTCATTGGTATTCCATTCGGGTTTGCATTAAGTCTGTAGGTTGATCTGTAGATCAATCTGTAGATTGATTTAGGTAATATGGACATTTTAACTGTGTTTATTCTTCCAATACATGGGAATGGAATATCTTTCCATTTCTTTGTCTTCTTTATTTCATTAATGTCATAGTTTTTGGAGTATATGGCATTCACCTCCTTGGTTAAATTTATTCCAAGTATTTTATTCTTTTTTGTTGCAGTTGTAAATGGGATTATAGTCTTGACTCCTCTTTCTGCTGGTATATTACTAGTGTATAGGAATGCAACTGATTTTGTGTGTGCGAGGAAGACTGGCCTTGAGATAACGTATTTTGCCAATCTTCCTCTTTTATTTTCTCCCCAAAGCCCCAGTACATAGTTGTATATCCTAGTTGTAAATCGTTCTAGTTCATCTATTTGGGATGCCACCACAGCATGGCCTGATGAGTGGTGTGTAGGTCCATGCCCAGGATCCCAACTGGCAAACTGCAGGCCCCCGTTATGGAGTGAAATGCAAATGATTTTTGAATGTTGATTTTGTACTCTGCAGCTTTACTGTATTCGTTGATTATTTCTAATAGTTTTTTGTTGGATTCTTTACAGTTTTCTGAATATAGAATCATGTCAACCACAAATAGTGACAGTTTCAATTCTTCCTTTCCGTTTTGGATACCTATTATTTCTTTTTCTTGCCTTACTTGTTTGGCTAAAATTCCCAGTACTATGTTGAAGAAGAGTGGCAAGAGTGGGCACCCTTGTCTTGTTCCTGTTCTCAGAGGAATGGCTTTCACTTTTTGACCATTGTGTGTGATGTTGGTGGTGGGTTGGTCATATATGGCCTTTGTAATGTTGAGGTACTTTCCTTCTATACCCCATTTTATTGAGAGTTTTTATCATAAATGGATATTGGGAAATTGTCAGATGTTTTCTCTCCATCTATTGAGATGATCATGTGATTTTCATTCTTCATTTTGTTAATGTGGTACATCACATTGATGGATATGCTAATGTTGAACCATTTCAGCACCCCTACAGTAAATCCCACCTGATCGTGGTCTATGATCCAATTAATGTATTGTTGTATTCAATTTCCTAATATTTTGTTGAGTACTTTTGTGTCTATGTTCATCACTGATATTGGCCTGTAATTTTCCTTTTTTGTGTCATCCTTGTCTGGTTTTCATATCAGGATAATGTTTGCCTCAGAAAATGAATTCAGAAGTGTCCCATCCTCCCAATTTTTCAGAATAGTTTGAGAAGCATAGGAATTAAATCTTCTTTGAATGTTTGGTAGAATTCACCAGAGAAGCGTATGGTCCTGGACTTTTTCTTTGGGAGGCTTTTGATAACAGTTTCAATCTCTGCTTGTGATTGGTGTATTCAGATTCTTTATTTCTTTGTGATTCAGTTTTCGGAGGTCATATGGTTCTAAGAATTTATCCATTTCTTCCAGGCTATTCAGTCTGTTGACATATAGTGTTTCATAGTATTCTTCTGTAATCCAATGTGTTTCTGCAGTGTCCATTGTAGTTACTGCTCTGTAATTTCTGATTGTATTTATTCGAGTCGTCTCTCTTTTTTCTGAATCTGGCTGAGATATTGTCAATTTTGTTTATCTTCTCAAAGAACCACTTCTTAGTTTCATTGATCCTTTCTATTGTTTTTCCACTTCCTGTTTCATTTATTTCTGCTCTGATTCCATTATTTCCTTCCTTCTCCTGACATTGGGCTTTGTTTGTTCTTTTTCTAGGTCTTCCAGGTATAGTGAGGCTGGTCTATCTGAGACCCCACTGGCTTTCTGTTGGCTCCCATAGGCGTGGGTGCTGCTGCCCCATGCATGACCGGTGATGCTTGTCCTGGGTTGTCTGAAGGTGCTGGTTGCACTGCTGCCAGGGGTCCTGGGTTCACAGGTGTCACTATCCCTGCCAGGGACCTGGAGAACTATATGTATCTCCTGCTGCTGCTGAGCTGGTGTTGGGGGGTGCCACCAGTGGGGGCTAGGTCACCAGATCTGCTGTGTTTCCTGAAGCCTCTGGTCACAGGTTCCACCTGCCAGTGCTGGGGCAAAGGGGCTATTTCTTCTGCCCCCACCCCGTTTGCTCACAGTTGTGTGGGCCAGGCCACCTCCACTGTGCCAGCAGTCACACAGGCCAGGCTGCCACCATCCATGCTCCACTGGCAGTCAGGTGAGCTGGGCTGTCCTCACCACTTGTGCCAAGCCCCTGTGTGAGGATCCACAACCTGGATTGCTACCACTCAGGGAGGGGTGGTGGGGGCTTTCTCCCCTAGGTCCACTGCTTACTGGGGGGTTGAGTCCACCCACCTTCAGATGTATAGACGCATGGATCTCTTAGGCATCCCTCTACTGCTGTATAGGAAATCCTATGTTGGTCAGTGCATGTCCATTTGGCTGTAACTTAGAGGGGCGTGACAAGGGGGAAAATTCCACCATGAGGCTGATGTCACTCATGTTGTCTCACCTTTTTTGAACTTTCCAAGAAACCAGTTTAAAAAAAACTATTGTGGTCTAACTAGTTTATAACATTTTGAAATTTCAGTTGTACATCAGTATTTATCAAACACCATATCAATGTGCCACCGCACCCCTTGTACCCACTCTCCTGCTGCCACAGTAACCACTAAATTGTTCTCTTCATCCATAAGTTTGTTTATATTCCACATATGAGTGAAATCATATGTTCTTTTCTCTCTCTGTGTGGCTTATTTCTCTCAACATGATGCCCTCAAGTTCCACCAATGTGGTTGTGAACGGGACGATTATGTGGAGTAGTATTCCATTGTATATATATATACCACATCATCTTTATCCAATCATCAGTCGTTGGGCACTTGGGTTGCTTCAACATCTTCGCTATTGTGAATAATGCTGCAATGAACACAGAAGTGCATACGTCTCTTATTGTTGATTTCAAGATCTTTGGATAAATACCCAGTAGTGGGATAGCCTGGTCATATGGTAATTCTATTTTTAAATTTTTGAGAAATCTCCATACTGTTTTCCAAAGTGGCTGCACAAGTTTGCGTTCCCACCAGCAGTAGATGAGGGTTCCCTTTTCTCCACAACCTTTCCAACATTTGTTATTTTTTTGTCTTGGTGATTGTAACTGTTCTAACAGGCATAAGATGATATCTAACTGTAGCATTGATTTGTATCTCCCTGATGATTAATGATGTTTAACACCTTGTCATCTGCCTATTGACCATCTGTATATCTTCTTTGGAAAAATGCCTGTTCATATCCTCTGCCCACTTATTGATTGGGTCATTTATTCTTTCATAGTTCAGTTGTGTGAGCTCTTTATATATTGCAGAGATTAATCCCTTATCGTATATATGATTTGCAAATATTTATGATTTGCAAATATTTTCTCTCAGTTCCTGGGTTGTCTTTTCATTTTGGTTTCTTTTGCTTTCCAGAAGCTCTTTAGTCTGATGAAGTCCTGCTTGTTTATTGTTTATTTTGTTTCCCTTGTCTGAGTGGACACTATGTTTGTAAAGATCCTTTTAAGGCTGATGACAAAGAGTGTACTGCCTATATTTTCTTCCAGAAGTTTTATAGTTTCTGGTCTTACATTCAAGTCTTTGATCCATTTTGGGTCTATTTTTGTCTATGGAGAAAGATAATGGTCTACTTTCATATTTTAGATGTGGCTCTTTAGTTTTCTCAGCACCACTTATTGAAGAGGCTTTCCTTACTCCATTCTATGTTCTTGGTTCCTTTATTTTTTATTTATTTATTTGTTTTTGAGGAAAATTAGCCCTGCGCTAACGTCTGCTGCCAATTCTCCTCTTTTTGCTGAGGAAGGCTGGCCCTGAGCTAACGTCTGTGCCCATCCTCCTCTACTTTATATGTGGGATGTCTACCACAGCATGGCTTGCCAAGTGGTGCCATGTGCACACCCAGGATCCAAACTGGCCAACCCTGCACCACCAAAGAGGAATGTGCAAACTTAACCACAGCACCACCAGGCCAGCCCCTCTTGCTTCCTTTATTGAGGATTAGCTGTCCATGTATGTGTGGTTTTATTTCAGGGCTTTCAGTTCTGCTTCACTGACCCTTGTGCCTGTTTTTGTACTGGTACCATGCTGTTCTGATTACTACAGTTTTGTAATATGTTTTGAAATCAGGGATTTCGATGCCATCAGTTTTCTTGTTTCTCAGGACTGCTTTGGCTATTCTGGGTTTTTTGTTGCCCCATACGAATTTTAAGATTCTTTGTTCTATTTCTGTGAAGATTGTCATTGGGATTCTGATTGTGATTGCATTGAATCTGTGGATTGCTTTAGGTAGTATGGCCATTTTAACTATGTTTATTTTTCCAATCCATGTACATGGACTATCTTTCCATTTCTTTATGTCATTATCGATTTCTTTCAGTAATGTCCTATAGTTTTCCTTGTATAGGTTTTACACATCTTTGGTTAAATTTATTCCTAGATATTTTAATCTTTTTGTTGAAATTGTAAATTGGGTTGTATTCTTGAGTTCTTGCTCTATTAGTTCGTTATTAGAGTATAGAAATGCCACTGATTTTTGTACGTTGACTGTGTATGCTACAACTTTGCTGTAGTTGTTGATTTTTTCTAAGAGTTTTCCGATGGATTCTTTAGAGTTTTCTATACATTTTATATATAGAAATCATGTCATCTGCAAAGAGTGAAAGTTTCACTTCTTCAGTGCCTATTTGGATTCTTTTTATTTCTTTT